CACTGTCACCGACAGCAAGTTTAGTTTTACTTTTCTTTTTATTTTCATTTTGAAAAGCTTGTTATCTTTGCTGTTTACCTCACGTTACGCTATGGGGGCTCTCTTTTATTTTATTATTTTTTATTTGATTCCTCAGTGTTTGCTAAACGTTCTGTAATTTATTAGTCGGTATATAATACAGCATGCGGTGTATGCCATGCCTCATCTTATTTGTTTTTGTTAATAAACGTATTGTAAGCTAGTTTGTCATTGTATCTTACTGTTTATTGTTGTTGTGATTTTTAAATTAAGAATAACAAAGAATCCATCTTTTGTTTTTAGTCTTAAAAAGTGAAATATGTATATATGTTTGTAAGCAAATCAGACAATTATCTTTTCTTGTAAAACGTGACAAGATCGCGAATTCAAAAGTGAAAGCATCCGAAGAACGGCTTATAACATAGCAAAAGAGGAACTCCCGTTCACAAAATTCAAATCACAAATACTGAAGAAAAATAACAGGTTGAATTGTAACCACTTTCGTTTCCATGTAACTATAAACTATGATAAAAGTTCATCAGCATGCATTGATTAATCCCATGTTGTAGCAAAAAAAAAAAAAAATTTGTGATCAAATCATGTGCTCGTGCGACCAACTGAGAAAGTTAGTCGCAAAAGAGCGACCAGTGGGAAGAGTGAGTCTGGAGCCCTGAGACAGAAAGAAAGTGGAAATATTATCATATAAAACGAAGCTAGAACTGTTGGGTGCAAGAACCCATGATGTGGACTGAGAGGAATTTAACAAAGAATAATATTCATATATGTTTGCTACATAAAGTTAGATAGCACAAAGAGGAAAGGACCGTAAATACTCACACTGCCTGAGAAGACCTTCTACCTCGATTTGTCTTCTTTCCAATGACTGGAGTGCCAAAGTGCTCTGGGTTAGTCAGGGGCAGTTGGTCCAAAGTCTGTTATAGAGAGAAATGGGCAGAAAAAAAATATTAAGAAAATAAATGAGAGGGAAAAAATAGACAAGTGTTAACCACAAGTCACATGATGCAGACACCTCAACACCTCACCTCACTCTCTGCAAAATGTCTTTCGCCTTTAAGACACAGTGAAGTTCTTCTAAGGGTTTTCTCATCTCCATCATCAAAAACTGCAATGAGAATGAGAAAAAACAAAACCAAAAAAACTTTGAAATATAAATTGCAAGTTTAGTTTACAGAAAATCAATTATAGTGCCTGAGAGGAGTCCAATAAGAGCAACTCAAGGCAGATTTAGTCAGCTATGTCTGTACGTACCCACAGTGTACCAGCTGGCATCTGTGAGTTTGCTGATGACAGCTTCGCTATGTCTACCCTCTGGGCTCTTCACTTCCACTGTTGAGCCAACCTGAGACCAGAGATGCATAACATTGTGACTTTTCATGCAATACACTGTTGCACAAATAGAAAGCAATTTAAACAGTTTTCATTTAGAATTAAACATTGTCTACGTGCTACAATATAAAGCACTTTTGCCTTATAATTAAGAGAGTGAACAAGGTGTACAGTTTCTTTAAACAACAACAAATCGAGCCCTAACTGTACTTATTCATTTTTACTCAGAATTAACATGTTAAATGCCAATTTAGAGAGAGAAAAAAATTGGCTTTGCCAAGTGAACAAATGAAGTAGTTGCCATTCGGCCAGTTACTGTATTATAACATAATACATAATTTTAATCACATTGTAAGAAAAACTGAAACAAGCTCATCTTGTATATAAGGTTTGATTGACACAATGACGTGCAGTGCTGATCACAAATTATGCAAATTTTGGCCAGTAAGAAATACTTACAGCAAGTTAATTTTCTCAGTTAATTCGGTATTAACAGGCATGGGAGAAAGTTCAGTTTGAACATGGCTACAACTGAGCATTATCTTCTTATAAGTGTTGCATGAGTAAGAAATAACCAGACGCTTTATAACAAGCATTATAGGAAAGTTGATTTGAAGTAACTGCAGAGTCAGTGTCCAAAAAAGTCTTTCTTACTCTTAAGGGTCCTTTGACTTGGTCATCTTGGACAACTTGTGAGGTGCTGTCTCCTTTAAGCACAATCTGCAAACAAAAACGTTACAAAATATAGAAAGAAGATCACCAAAGCATGATGGTGTGAACAACACGGATGGGAAGACAGTAGCAGTATGGTTCAGTGAAGGTGAAGTAATCTGGTTGTGTAACAGATGTCATGTTCTTCATGATCTCTCTCAAACAAGCTTCTTAGTGAGTGCCTACATACACTGTCAAGAGCAACTACTTAGAATATCCTTGCAAGAATGTGCAACACAAACGTCAGGCACGTGTTGCTCCATTTTACCCCCAGGCTGTCTTGTTTCAGTCGGTTAAATACCCAAGAACGGCCACAAACCAAGATCTTAAGAGAGAAAACAAAACATTGATGGCGTACAAAGAGATTTTGCAAAAACGGAAGTGTGGATTAACCTTAAAACAACATACTTATGATTGGTAGGTGCTGATCCCAATAAAGCCATTTGTAAGCTTATTGTTTGTTCTCACAACATGAATGAGTCTCCATCTTACTGACTACTCCATATAGAAATATGGACGTTTTGTACAGATGATACTTGAATGGTTTGTGGAGCTAGTGCACAAAGCAGGATCATCACCTCCTGGTTTTCCTTTGTGGGCCTGCTTATGTTACTAAATCATGCAGTGTGAAGTGCATCAAACACTTCTGCATTAAAGCAACACAACCCTTTTATAATAACAAATCTGCGCATAGTCACCAGCAGAAAATGACACTTGTTTATCCTCCTTTGTCATCTGTCACTGGCTTGACAGATAAGATGCATAGCACTCTGAACGTACACTTTTTTTTTGGGGGGGAAACTTACAGAAAAAGCTCTAAAATGATTGTTAGATGATTGACGATGCACATTTCAAGAACTGTTTAACGGGGACAGTTTAGAAAGCATAAGTTTCAAAGCGATATATATACCATATGGCAAATCTTAAATGTTTGATGCAAACAATTGTTCAATTAATTGTTGCAAAACAAACTGTTATCCCCCAGTGATATAAAGTTGGATATATAGTACACAACATTTCTGCCTGTACTGTATACTCACATATACGATATATACTATATATTAAATCTCAATTGCTTGATTGTTTAAATCACCACAAAATGTAAACTATATTGTTGCTCAGCGATATATTTAAAATGACTGATAGCTGACAATGCACGTCAAGAACTATTTAACAGGGACAAAGTTTTGAAAGTATATGTTTCAAAGCAATGTATACTATATAGCAAATCTTAACTGCATGATTGTTTTATCACAAAATGTTAAAGGGACAGTCCACCCAAAAATGAACCCTTTAAATATATTATCACCCGGCTATACTCTGCTAAATTGCGACTATAAAGCATGAAGATATTAAGGTATTACAGACATTACAATCATGATTTGCTGTAAAGCTGCTTTGAAACAATGTGCATTTTGAAAAGCACTATACAAATAAAACTAACTTGACAAGATGAATGGATAGACTTATATCAGATTGATTAAACTTACCTTAACTTTCACAATGCGTTTAACAGTCTTGATTTTTGCCTCGCAGAAGGCACCACGGTACTTTGCGCTCACGTCCGTCCCCACAGTCAGGTAGGCAGGTTCATCTGCTACCTGTGGACAATGTAAATATTAATAAAATGCATAGACAAATTCATACCAACACTTTCTCTCTGCATATTTACGGTTATATAAAGTATGTGTAAAAACATCTAAGAATACTTTAAGTAACAACAGCATTCAAATGTTATGAAAATTACTATTTTGGGCATTCTGAAAGCACTCATACAGTCTGACTACCTCAATCATTGAACTACTGAGCTTTTCTTATCACAATTTCTATAAAAGCCCCATTCATATGTGATTTATTCACTGAAGTGTTTTGTTCCAGATGCATGTTGTGCCTCATTTAGGGAGGCGTCGCATATCACAACTGCAGAGGATCACAGACTCACCTTCATCTTGATGGCTATTTGAGGGAGTCCAGCTCGATTGGTTTTGACTGCTGAAACAGAACACACACGCATAAAGAAACAGTCACGATCTGGCGCCATGTGCTAAAAACGTGTCATATGTATACGTGTGAAAGATTTGACAGCACAACACAAATAGAGAAAATGCTAAAGGAGCTAACGCGGCTAGCCAGTTCTCGTCCTCCTCCCTTCAAAATGATCAAATAAACAAAACCAACCCATCAAAACACAGCTTCAACTGCCTCACCGTGACTTTACCTCCAATCTGAGCCACTCACGATGTCTTGATGGTGTAAAAAAACAAAGTTCGGAGTCACTGAAGGAAAACATAACCCCTTCAAACCTGCGTGTTTCCTTCCCGCTTCACTCACTGTGTGTGTGTCACGTCGCCATCATAGCTCACACACCGTCCTGCACCATGTCAGCCCCTCCACCATCCACTAACCCCACATTTCCCTCACTTAACACTATATTTGCAGAGGTATTGAGTACGAAGAACGAAAAACTGACAGCTATGATGGTTATTGACGCCTGTCAATCAAATTGTGACGGTTAAGCTAGCTGTTATGGCGATTTAAACTGCTCGTTGGGTTAGTTCCGCAACATTTATGTGAGGCGACTTTTCCCTTCAGACTGAGTTACAAGTTTTTGGCTATAAACTGGTCGGTTTTGAGTGGTTAGTTCAAGTAAAAGTCGTCGGCTAAATCCCGGATCCTGTGAGAAAACAAGCCGACTAACGTTAGGCTCTGCCATTCAATTTTTTTCTCTTCGTCGCCTAAATACCTTTGCTGGAAACCAAGGGAAAACGGCAAATATGACTGGATTACTTTCAGACTAGCGAGTTTAAATAAGACGGATGTGAATATACTGGTTTAATGAAGCAAAATCGGTGTTTGAATGTTGTGTGGAAATATAAACGTGTACTTACATGCTCCTATATGACTGCTTCAGCTCAGCATTCGACTAGGTTGCAAAGGCATAGACGAAATAACAAGCTGTTGAGCTGAGGTTGTGTTTCTCGGATCCCTATTGGCTGCCGGGGCCACAGTGGGCAAATCCCGAGCATTGCGATTGGCTGCCCGCTAAGCAAAATCCTATTGGCTAGACTGAAGCGCGTAACCTGATTGCTCAGTACGAAAGAGGCGCTGCGAATTACGCTCTCTCGTTGGTGTTCTTTGATTCTCACTCTTTGCAAATACAATAAATCCATCCTGGCCTCCGATTGGCTACATGTTTCCTGTTCTGCGCTGTCCGCGGTTCTGATTGGTCGAATTGACTCAGAGGCATCCCGACTGCGAAGCCCATTGGTTGGAGGGATGCATGGGAACAGAGCTTCATTTCAGAAGGAAAGGCTCTGCTCAGTTTGCGCATGTCGAAGAAAAGAGAGCATTCGCCATTTTGTATCCAACGTAATTATTTTCGCATTCTGGATTCGGAGCCCGTGAGATTTCGCGGTGAGCCCCGTGACTGTTTTTGTCTGCTTCTTTAGTCAGACCGAGTAACCTCAGCGTCGTTAGCTTAAATGTGCTATTTATGTAATTTGTATATTAATTGTTTTACCACTAAATCGTTTTAGATGCGGTCGTGTAGAAAAGGTCAATTGAAGGCAACGGTAATGGCGTCTTTATGTCGTTGCTGTGGAGAGCGCGGCGGCGGGTTTGTTAACCACGTGACGTGACCGGAACAGAGCGCCACAGTAAGCACGTGTGACAAGTTAAATGCGTATTCACTGACACCTGCGTGATTTCAAATTATTATGCATGATTATAGTGTTACTTTTAACGTGACATTGAAGTATTGGGATTTTGAATCAGAAATGGGATAAGACAGCATTTTGCCTGGGTATTTTAATGTTTTAAGGGTGTGTATGATATATATTAAGGAATGTGTTTGATTAGCAAACGCGACTGGACCAATAGTCATATGCTTATGGCGTTAATGGTTATTACATGGTATGATTTTAATGTGTAAAGAGAATCCATATTTGTGCAGTGTTGACCCATTTGTATACAATGTCTATCTATGATGTGTATCAATCAATAAATCTGTCAGTTTTCCTATGAATTAATCAGAATATACATTAATCAGTGAGCACACATTACATTAGGGGTGTCAGAGTTTAGATTAAACCCTAATTAAACACACCTGATCCAACTAATCAAGTCTTTCAGGCTTATTTGAAAACTACATGGTATGTGTGTTGGTGCAGTGTTGGAACAAAACTGCTGGCCTCTGGCCCTCCAGGAATTGAGTTTGACATCTCTGCATTACATAAATGCATGGGAAAGCAACATTCAGACTCAAAGGTGTCACACATAAGTGCTAAAAATAGAGGTCACGTGCAAAGCCTCAAACGCCAAGAAAACTACAAAAAGATCTCACAATAATTGTGTATGCACTGCCAGTTAAACATTTAGATGTATTTATGCTTTTCATAATCTTTAAAAAAAAATGACTGAAAGGCTTCTGCTTAAATGGTTGAGTTTTGTAGAAAGTCTGCTTGTGTAAGTGACAAAAAATGTCTTTAAATTATGATTACTACACCATTTACATACCTCCACATTTATGTAAAATCTAAATATTAATATCAGTATCAGTGGATTAACATGGTACTGTTTTAGATTAACCGAATTTACCTTATATTAATTAAAATATAACGTTCATCCTAGTCACACTTTTTTTTCAAGTCTAATACTATAACATGCATGCTTGGGTTACAATATCATGGATAGAAATTTTATAAGTAAATTCTAACATACTGGGTTTTGCTTTGAGACTCCATATGCTGATGGCTAACCATAAGTTCAGGGTCAAGTCCTTGCAGCTCACTGCAGATGAACTGTTTATCTATACCCAAATGCATGTATTTAGTGCCTTATACCGAACCTAGTAATATTCACATTCTTCTGACAGGGTGTGCATAAATATCATTCAATTGACGCCACAGAATTTCTAAAAGAGAAGGTGTATTCTTTGCCTAAGCTCGCTGTCCAACTAATGAACGGTAATTATGGCAATTTAGGAGTCTGAATCAGAGCTTAATTCTCTTCTATAAATCGTATTTATTGTCAAGTCTGAAACCCACAAAAGGAAAACATAGGACTACATTAGTCCATTACAAAACATAAAAAAAACATTTTATTGTCTGCCAGACAGTTGAGAGTTGCCAGGATGTCTGAAACATGGTACAGTCAGAGAAATGGAAAAACGGAGGTTTGCAACGCTGTGTTTACATGTTGTCCTCATCAGAGTCATCCTCCTCCTCCAGGGATTCCTGTCAGGGCAGAAATATGACAGTAAGTCATGCTGAAGAGAGATTTTGTTATAACTATTACCAGAGGGACAGTTACTTACTTTAGCATATTTCTCGGCCTCCTCTTTGATGTCTTTGGGGACAAGCTCGTGCCTTCCTTTTGTGACTAAAAAGAGGGGTGTATATATATATATATATATATATATATATATATATATAAATAAATTAAACAATTCCTCTTTTCTGCTGTTGAGACGCCATCAAATCAGGCAAAAAACAAACAAACGTGTGTAGTGTAGGAGTGATGGATTGAATCATATTACACCAACATCTGAAAAATAATCTAAATGAATATATATATATCTTTTTTTTCCCAACATTAAAAATAGACTGAAAAAAAAAAACAATAAACGGGGTTCTACGACAAATTCAGCACTGAACACAAATGCAGTATAAAAAAAAAAAAACTAAGTCTTAAACTTAAAGGGGCCATATGATGGTTTTTTACTTGTATATGTATATATATATATATATATATATATATATATATATATAAATAAATTAAACAATTCCTCTTTTCTGCTGTTGAGACGCCATCAAATCAGGCAAAAAACAAACAAACATGTGTGTAGTGTAGGAGTGATGGATTGAATCATATTACACCAACATCTGTTGCGTGCACATTTGGGCGCATTAAATAAATATTTCCACATAGTGAGGTAGATATGTGGGGGCGTGTTAGAACGAGCCGTTTTAGGGGGGCGTGGCAGAGTCTTAACTTTGATAAAGAATATCTCTTTGGTTTTGAGACTTTAGTCTTTGCAACTTCAACTTATCTATGCACAATCAGTTTGTAAGATTCCAAAGAGAAAGGAAAACTTGAAATCGCATCATATGACCCCTTTAAAGGGCTCATGACCTAGGCTGTATTACGTATTAAGTATTACAATGATTTTCCTCAAATGATGTCCTAAGAAATGTAGTGATAGAAGTAGAATATAAAATTCAGTCATTACCTTCTCCAACCCAACTAAGCTCCAGCTCAAAGGCTTTGTCTTTCACCTCATCATGAACAATATAGATACTGAGAAGAGATGACAGTTTTTAAATTGTGTAAATATAAAATCTAAATAGTTATGGCATGCTATATAAAAAAAATGTTCAGAGTCCCACAACCATGGACAACTTGGAAATAGCAGGAAAGTTTAACATGTTAAGGCCTGGAAGAGTCACAGAATTAAATTCATTTCTATTGTGTATAATGTATGATCCTAAATGCAATCTCAATAAGATGATTTTTAAAAGTGCTAATGCAGTGAATTATGAATACAATGCAAAAAAAAAAAAAAAAAAGGGCACTGAAATTGACTGGTCAAAAGGTGTTCATGAGAAGCCAACATTATTGTAAACTCAGCAACCTTACAGATAAGAAAAAAATCAGCTGAGCTAGACCTTTAAAAGCTGACGCACAACACTTTAGCGTTTGACTGGTTTTGTTGGTATATGGTTTGTTTTCGTGGATCTCTGCTGCTCTCATGTGTTGTATATGATTGATCCGATCGATTTTTAAGTCATCTCAATTCTAAGTTTATAATTAAAACACACTCACATTTTTGCCACTTCCTTCACCAGTTCTCTGCAGGTCATTTCTTTCATCTGAAATACAAGATTAACATTTACAAGTTTACCTACTTTAATCTGTTGACGTTAAAATGGAAACACTGCTAAACAAATTCAGTATTGTAGTTGTTTTGAAATGACAAATCTTGTAATGACACAATGCTGTTACTTCTTCAGGACTGTTTTAAATGATGTTGTCCCTGCAGTAATAAAAGGAGCTGACTCTTGTTTGAGCATGCTCCAAAAAAAGCCAAACATGCTTATACTAAACACCACAGCTGTACTGTTAACAATAAAGACCTGTTAGATTGAATGAGAATGAATGTATGATAATAAATGAGAGGCAATGACATTTTCTGTACTACATCCCTGGAGATATATATATATATATATATATATTAACACCTACCTGTAGTTTCTCAATTTCTGTCTTGGCAGCTTGCTTGGCTTTTCCAATAGCACAGCCCCAGTAACCCTAACAAACAGACACTAAACATTAATGACAAAGGCAAACACGTGTACAGGAGGTTCAGGTTAATGAAAACAATGTGTAATCTGCATTGATATTGAGTGTTGGAAGGAGTTCAGATGTATGCTGGACACTGTTTGGCTGCTTTTCCATCACTACAAAGGTATAGGTTTGTAATGAAAAATTCATACATTCAAACTTCATGAGAACCATTCAAAATCATGAGAGACAAATTCAGAGCAGTGTTTCCAAGCTGGTAGTGTATATTAAGTATTAAGGTATTGATTAACAGAGATAATAGAGATCTCTTACGTGTGAAATCCCAGAAGGGTCAACCATGTAGAGCTGTGGACCATCATCTTCATCATAAGATCCCAGGATGAAACTGAAGGGTTAAAAAAATAAAATCACAACATACATACTCATAAGAAATGAAACTTACATTATGCAATGATAATGCAAATGAAAATGCAATATTGAAACTTTACAAAAGACCTACCTGCATCCAAAAGGCCTCACAGCGCTGTATAATGTGTAAGCATGGACATACATGGCCACTCTGTCTGCAAGATGCTGTTTGGATAATATGAACAGTATATCACTGACCATTATATCTTTGTAATTTCTTTATTGTTTAACCGTTCAATACATGCTTATACTAAACACCACAGCTGTACTGTTAACAATAAAGACCTGTTAGATTGAATGAGAATGAATGTATGATAATAAATGAGAGGCAATGACATTTTCTGTACTACATCCCTGGAGATATATATATATATATATATATATTAACACCTACCTGTAGTTTCTCAATTTCTGTCTTGGCAGCTTGCTTGGCTTTTCCAATAGCACAGCCCCAGTAACCCTAACAAACAGACACTAAACATTAATGACAAAGGCAAACACGTGTACAGGAGGTTCAGGTTAATGAAAACAATGTGTAATCTGCATTGATATTGAGTGTTGGAAGGAGTTCAGATGTATGCTGGACACTGTTTGGCTGCTTTTCCATCACTACAAAGGTATAGGTTTGTAATGAAAAATTCATACATTCAAACTTCATGAGAACCATTCAAAATCATGAGAGACAAATTCAGAGCAGTGTTTCCAAGCTGGTAGTGTATATTAAGTATTAAGGTATTGATTAACAGAGATAATAGAGATCTCTTACGTGTGAAATCCCAGAAGGGTCAACCATGTAGAGCTGTGGACCATCATCTTCATCATAAGATCCCAGGATGAAACTGAAGGGTTAAAAAAATAAAATCACAACATACATACTCATAAGAAATGAAACTTACATTATGCAATGATAATGCAAATGAAAATGCAATATTGAAACTTTACAAAAGACCTACCTGCATCCAAAAGGCCTCACAGCGCTGTATAATGTGTAAGCATGGACATACATGGCCACTCTGTCTGCAAGATGCTGTTTGGATAATATGAACAGTATATCACTGACCATTATATCTTTGTAATTTCTTTATTGTTTAACCGTTCAATAAAAAAAAAATCAATTTGCTTCGAATATATACACAATCATATAAGACTTAATTTAATACAGCACATGGGGGGGGGTTGGAGGGTGTCAATGGCAGACCTGCCAACCTTGGAAAAAATTTTTGAGTACCAACAGTGTGACTGGATGGAACGTAAGGTTTGGGGGCATGACTCTTTTAGGTCTGC